TTTTTTATATATATATCTCTATCTATATATATATATATATATATATATATATATATATATATATATATATATATATATATATATATATATATATATATATATATATATATATATATATATATATATATATATATATATATATATATATATATATATTTATATATTTATTTATATATATTTATTTATATATATTTATTTATATATATATTTATATATATATATATATATATTAAAAACATTATCTTGGTAGATTTTTATAATATTAATAATAAAACTTTTTTTTTAACATTTTTAAAAATTGTTTATTACAAGGTTAAAAAAACAGTTAAATACAAGATCAACAAAATGCTACTTCGTTAATTTATTTAATTTTCACCCATTAAAACATTACAAGTACATGAAACTGATTATTACACTTAATATTTACTAAAAACACACTGTATATTGTCAGATTCTCAACTGAAGATGTGAGCTCTCACTCTCCCGAACACAAGCCCAAACCCTCCGCTCGGTCCACACGACCCAGATCAGACTGGCTTGGCCTGAAGCAGGAGGAAGAGGAGGAAAAGATGAAGGAGGAGCCCCAAAAACCACCCCCAGCAGAAACCCTGAAGCCTCCTGCATCTTCCTCCACATACACACAAGAAGACACGCATGATTCACCGAGAGCCGAATCACCGGCCGCACCCGCGCCTCCCAAAACCAACTCTAAAACACTAAAGGACGAGGAAGACGATTGGCTCACCGGAGCACTGAGCCGCAAGAAAACACCAAGCCATGCAGAGGACAGAGAGCACAAACAGGAAGTGCGGAAGGAAGTGGATGTTTTTCACAGGTGAGGGTTTGACATGAAAAGAGGGTGGGGCATAGAGTAGCCCCTCCCCTTTTAAACAAGCCACCAATAGTGTTTGGTTTTTATCACAGCTCTGTCAGTGAAAGTGATTGAGCTCAAGTGCATCAAATGAAGAGCTCAATCAAGACCTAAGGGGGCAGGGCATGTCAGATACTAGAGAGCATCTGATTGGTCAAGATTTGATGAGAAAAGTATGAGCGACCTTAAAAAAAATGGTTGATTCATTTAGGTGGAAATGTCAAACTAGCTTTGAAAGTTTATATTAATTTTATATTTTATTGACGCAAATTTTGTACACTAGCTAATAGATAGCCTTAAGACTAACGGAGTAATACTGACTAAAAATGTATTTTAATTTCCTTTAATATTATTTACATTTACATTTACATTTAGTCATTTAGCAGATGCTTTTATCCAAAGCGACTTACAAATGAGGACAAGGAAGCAATTTACACAACCAAGAGCAACAATGAATAAGTGCTATAGGCAAGTTTCAGGTCTGTAAAGTCTAAGAAGGAAAGTATTAGTAGTTTTTTTTTTTTTTTTGTACAGTTAGTGTGATATTCAAAGAGGCAATTGCAGATTAGGAAGTAAAGTGGAGACTAAATAGTTGAGTTTTTAGTCGTTTCTTGAAAGTAGCGAGTGACTCTGCTGTTCTGATGCAGTTAGGGAGTTCATTCCACCAACTGGGCAGATTGAGCGTGAGCGTTCGCGAAAGTGATTTTTTCCCTCTTTGGGATGGAACCACGAGGCGACGTTCATTCACAGAACGCAAGTTTCTGGAGGGCACATAGATCTGCAGAAGTGAGTGCAGATAAGAAGGTGCTAGGCCAGAAGTCACTTTGTAGGCAAACATCAGAGTTTTGAATTTGATGCGAGCAGCAACTGGCAGCCAGTGCAAACGGACTAGCAGCGGAGTGACATGTGCTCGTTTAGGTTCATTAAAGACCACTCGTGCTGCTGCGTTCTGGAGCAGCTGAAGAGGTTTGATAGAGTTAGCTGGAAGCCCAGCTAGTAGAGAGTTGCAGTAATCCAGTTTGGAGAGAACAAGAGCTTGAACAAGGAGTTGAGTTGCATGTTCAGATAAGAAGGGTCGGATCTTTCTGATGTTATAGAGTGCAAATCTGCACGATCGAGCAGTTCTAGAAATGTGGTCAGAGAAGTTTAGTTGGTCATCAATCGTTACTCCAAGGCTTTTCACCATTTTGGATGCAGTAATGGTTGCCCCATCCATCTGGATTGAAAAGTTATGGTGTAGAGTCGGGTTGGCAGAAACTACAAGCATTTCCGTTTTTGCGAGGTTCAGCTGAAGATGATGATCTTTCATCCAGTGTGAAATATCCAACAGGCAGGCTGAGATACGAGCTGGAACCGAGGGATCATTTAGTATAGTTCTATAGTGTTGTGCTGTATGTGGTGATGCTTGTGAAGCCAGAAACAATTGTAGATAATGAAGTAAGAAAAGTGAGTGAATGATCATGGAGGAAGTGAGTTTGCATTTAATGTCTGTTGTGTTTTCAGCTCTAAACCTAATGTGTCTCCAGCATCACGAAGAAGAGCGGATGAGTCCCCAATCCCAGTTACTGAACACAGGTACAGTTGATACAACGTTAAGAGAGAGTCTCTGTTCTTGGGGTGGGTGATTCTTATACTAAGTGAAGTGTGTGTTTGTGTGTGTTTTCCAGCAGAGAGTCCACCGGGAGCTCAATCCAACACAACACAAGCACAGACCGTCAACACAAACCTGGTACGGTCAAAATCAAATATTAAGTCCTTTTGGACTGTAGAGTTGTATAAACACATTTGAACAAACTTTTAAGTCAGAATTTACCAGGTATATAAAAATTGGGCTTGACTGCGTTTATGATGGATTATAGGGGTGTCAAAATTAATTGTTTCTTCGGTGCACCGCGATGCAGACGCGGACAATAAGGTATCGGTTCCATAATAATCATAACCAGTTATTATGTACTGACGTCATTGATCTCCTATGCGCTCTGTCGCGAGGGAGGTGAGCGCGAGTATTTACAACACTCAGGCAACTCAGGGCTGGTCCGTGGCATAGGCACCATAGGCAAATGCTAAGGGTGCTGTATATCCAGGGGGGCGCCAGAAATGAGCGCGGTTAAGTTGGTTTTGTTTTCGATATTCCTGACACACATTCAGTTACAGACGGCAATAACTCAAAAACCTCTTACCCTAAAAAGATCTAAAGTGTGTTTCCCACAAAAAGACAAAGCTAGTTATGTTTCACAGCTGTCTTTCTTTTTTCGCACGACATTACGAGCACTGCTCTGTTTAAGCTCTCGCAATATGTGTTTAGCCGGGAGAGCTCGCGTGGAGAGGAGCTCTCAGAAAGGGACCGTCGGAAAAGTGCTTCTTTTTTTTTTCTCGTTTTTTTTTTTCATTTTTCTGCTCCACTCAGCGCAAGCTCTACCTGTTGCAAGGGCTTAAGTGTGTGTGTGTGTGTGTGTGTATGTGTTTGAATGAGAGACAGTGTGGTGCTGTGTGTCTGTGTGTTTATACAGACAGCTTGTTATAGCCTCCCCCCTAAAATATAATACTGTGTATGGAAAGCATCGTCAATGCACCGTGATGCACCGAGATATCGAATTGAACCGAATCAAAGGCATGATAATCGTAACCGAACCGAACCGTGAGACCAGTATAGGTTCACACCTCTAATGGATTAGATTGGGGATGGGATTGAATTGCATTGATGATGGATGGGATTGGATTGGGGGTGATTGGGATTGGATTGGATTGGATTGGGCATGGGATTGGAGATTGCATTGGATTGGGCATGGGATTGGAGATTGCATTAGATTGGGGATGGGATTGGATTTGGGTTGTGATCGGATTAGGCATGGGATTGAATTGGGGATGGGATTGAATTGGAGATTGTATTGGATTGGGATGGGATTGGATTGGGGATGCTTTGGATTGAATTTAATTGAAGATTAATTAGATTTGGGATAGATTTGATTGAGAATGGGTTTGGATTGGATGTTATTGGGGATGGATTGAATTGGGTATGGGATTGGGGATGGCTTTGGATTGAATTTGATTGGAGATGGATTGGATTGAGGATGGGTTTAGATTGGATTGGGGTGGAGTGAAATTATCTCAATTCATCTTTATTTTTATAGCGCTTTTACAATGTAGATTGTGTCAAAGCAGCTTCACATAGACGATTACATTGAATTAAATCATTTGATGGACTGGGTTTAAGGATGGATTGGGGATGGGTTTGGATTGAATTTGATTGCGGATGGATTGGATTGGAGATGACATTGGGGATAGATGGCTGGATGCATGGATGGGATTAGATTAGGGATGGATGGAATAGGATTGGGGATGTGTCACGGCCTGGCTCAAAGGCAATGAAAAATTAAAGGGAGGACATACACAGAATGGTTTGGTACCGAAAAAATATTTATGTAAACATTAAAGAATAATCAAGTGCTCACTTTAGGTCAGCAAAATCAAATATTAACCAAAGCTTAAAAGAAACAAAACAAAAGCATGGCTCTCCACAAGCCAACACTGTTGGCTTTTTATAGAGGGGAAACCAGGTGTCCCAATTGAGCAGATGAGTCTCTGTCCTTCCTGCTTTCGGCCGATCAGTGGGTTGGTCAAAGAGACTCATCACAGGATGGGATTGGATTAGGGATGAATAGAATAGGATTAGGGATGGATTGGATTGGGGATGGGATGGATGGATTGGGTTGGGGATGGATTGAATTGAGGATAGATTGACTGGGTTGGGGATGGATAGAATGGGATTGGATTGGGATGGATTGGATTGGAATACGTTTGGATTGATTTTGATTGAGGATGGATTGGATTTCATTGGGTATGGATTAGATTGGGGATGGGATTGGATTGAATTTGATTGAGGATGGATTGGGGATAGGTGTGATGGCCAGTGTGCTGGCCACACATTGAGAGTGAGGCATGCACACACACATACACACACACACACACATTATACATATTAATTTAAGATTATTTATTGGTCACAATTTCAGTTATTGTGTTTATACATTTCGTTTCATTCATATCTGATTTAAATAAGACGCACACACTTTTTCAGTTTCTCATTACCTTTCTTTATTATTCACAGTACATTTATTACTATTTTGGGTGCACACAAAATCAGTTATCTGTACTGTATGTTTTGTTAATTTAGTTTTCTTTTGAGTTTAAGTTACCGTGCTGCAGTGCCGACGAGGAACAGAGTTTCCGGGTGTGGTCTGCCCAAGTAAAGGTCCGACGTGCCGCAAGAGGCCGTCTTTTGGTTCCGCCTGCCGATACCATTGGCTTAATGGCTTGGAGGGAGAGCTCATGTTTAGTTTAGGTTCAATAATGATTTACAATGTTTGTTTATTCAGATTTATATTTAGTTTTGCCTTATTTATATTTTATTTAACTTATATTTAGATTTGTATTTAGATGTTAGGCTTAGTTTATTGTATTTGTAAATTGTATGTTTTTGTCTCCCCCTTCTTGTTTAATGTGGACTAGTCCCTGTGCTATAAATGTGGTCTGTCTTGTCATTTCATGAAGTTCTGTTTTTGGTTTAGACATGATTTGTTTGGTTTGAACTCAGTTTGTTTTCCTTGTTTAGTTTATTGTTCTTTCAATTGATTTAATTATTTAATTAATTTATTTTGAACTTTTTGTGAACCTTTTTGACTTTATTAAAAATAATTATTTTTGAAAATCTTCTTTTTTGTATGCCCCTTACTGTACGTGCAGGCTCGGTCCCTCACAATAGGATTGGATTTGGAATGGCATTGGGAATGGATCGATGGGATTGGATTAGGGATGGATTGGATTGGGGATGGGTTGACTGGGATGGAGATAGATAGATGGGATTGGATTAGGGATGGATTGGATTGGGAATGGGATTGGATTGGGGATGGATGGGTGGATGGATGGGATTGGATTAGGGATGGATGGAATAGGATTGGATTAGGGATGACTGGAATAGGATTAGGGATGGATTGGATTGGGGATGGATTGATTGGGTTGGGGATGGATAGAAGGGATTGAATTGGGGATGGATT